CACCCTAGCACTCAGATGTGGCCCCTCCTCTGTCTCTGTGAACACACTAAATAATTCCATACTTCTACTTTATTTTACATCTGGCTGAATCTTTCCCTTTCCATCACGCTCACCCATACAACCTCCCTCACCCACTCCTGTTACTGTTCAGAAAGGGGCGGGCTTCCCAGGGGGTATCAACAAAGGAAGGCTTATCGAGTTGTGGCAAAACTAAGCACCTTGTCATATTTATTAAGGTTATGACAGTACCTATTGAAAAGTTTCTGCACCCCAATAAGCCTCTCCACCAATGCGGCAATCCAAATCAGACCAAATTAAAGCGAATTAGAAAAAGCCCACATTTAACGGATACAATGTTCCCGGATGGCCTTCCAGCCCCTCAGAGGAGACAGGAAAGAGAGAGGGAGAAACCAGGAGTCTATTTTCTGGGAGGCAGTTTAAATACCCTGTGGAAGGGGTTATCATTTGACTGGCTTTCTAAGTTGCAGCAGGGTTTGGAGAGATACAGGGGAGGGGTCTGAGGTGGAACTTCCACCATAACATTCAGACTCTTTGGGTATATAGATGCCAGGGACACCTATGGGCCATCCACTCCCAAAGTCCTATTTCACCATTTATAAGCCAATTATATTCACCTTTCTTCTTGACATTGCCATTTGGAAGTTTTATATATGGCTGAAATGTAACAGGTTTACACTAAACTGCATGTTTTCCATCTCACTTCCAAACCTGCTTTACCTGTAGGCTCCCACTGCCATTTATAGCTACTTCACTTAAAGCCATCTCATTCTTTCAAGGACTCAGAACAAAGCATTCAGAATCATCTTTATCTGAAGTCTCATATGCAATGTCATGAAAGCCTAATCACAGCTACCTTCAACACATATTCAGAAATCTAAATGCTTTTGCCAAGATATTCTAGCTTCTGGCATTACTGCAATTGCATCTTAGACAGTTTGCTTTCCCCTGCATCTCCTTACTTTATACTCTAATTAAAGGCACTGGTGCCCAGAAAGACAGGGCAGTCAGTTGCTGACATCTTGTACTCTGGGGACTCATATCTTCTGCAGCAGGCCAGCTTTACAATGCCTGGCATGTACATGCAAATAAAAATAACTGAAGCGTAAGAAATACAACAAAATTTCTTTGTCTTCTTTCAGAACCTGTAAATCACATCAAAATAAACTAAAAAAAAAATATGGATTATTTTCAGGGCTACAAAAATGGATTTAAAAAATATAACCTAAAAGAAAAGTGGACATAAAATTGCTATGAAAAAATAAAAGACAACTTATAATTACAGCAAAAGTCTTAATAAATTTTAAGTAGGCTTATACTCAGAGGCTATCAACACTAACATATAGGGAAGCACTAGCCAAAGTTTGTACAGGCCCCAACTGACTGGTCTTTACTGAGTTCCAGATTTCCCATATGAAGAAAGAGCCTTAATCTTCAAAGCACGCAGGCCGACTTGTATGTTTAGCCTGCAGAGCAAGTTTTATATGAATTTTTCTAAGAATCTTTTATTATAACCTCGTTTACTACATTACTGCTACATTAAACAGGAAACAAATGTTCATGGCAAATGTTCACATACAAAAAAAGTAAATGCAGCTAGCCTTCAAGAATTGATGAAATGGCTGGATGGTGGTGTGCACGCCTTTAATCCCAGCACTTGGGAGGCAGAGACAAGTGGATCTCTGAGTGTTGAAGGCCAGCCTGGTCTACGGAGTGATTTCCACGACAGTCTCCAAAACAATACAGAGAAACCCTGTCTCAAATAAATAAATAAATAAAAATAAAAAAGGCAAGGTACTACACAATCTACCAACTCAGTGCTGTCTTTCGGTATATATGAACATTTAAATCTATTACGCCCATTGTACACCTGAGTTGCCACTTCCTAATTCAAAGCATGTATAATATATTATGAACTTGGTCTTTGTCTCAAGTACCTGACACAGCTATGCCAAACCTTACAATCTACTGAGTGATGAAAGTATCTTCCTAGATCTGGCAGGAGACTTTCAATCACACCAGAGTTTAAACTAATGAAGTGACTTAGATTACAGAGGGGGAACTTTTAGCCCCAGCCCTACACCATAGAGGGAAGGGATGAGTTTAGAAACTGATTGGGCACTATAAATACTCTTTAACTAGATCACCAACAAGTACCTGGAGAGCAGGGCATACTACGAGGGCACTGGAGCTGCAAATCACACCCAACACCCCATCCCATGCAGCCTTTCTCCTCAGCTGTTCCTGGCACACAATCCTTATAGTAAATCAGCCAACTAAGTTTTTTACTAAGTTCTACAAATTATCTCATCAGAAGAGGTCATTGTAGGAACCTCTGACTTAATGGCCAGTCAGCAAGAAAGCAGATCTGGCCAGGACTTCAAGCTGGCATCTGAACAGGGGAAGTCTATGAACTAAGCTCCTACCTGTGGGATCTGTACTACTCTGGACAGTGTCACAATGGAAGCCACCAGTTTTCACGCTGGAGAATTGGTGATTATACTGAAAATACGTGTAACTAACACACCTATCTACCTGGGCCAGGTCATCTACAAAACAACTATCAGACATATCAACAAATTGTTTCCTCAACTATAACCCAGTGGCACCAGGGCAATACTGATAAAGGGAAATCATGTGCTATGCTACCCACCTTACGTTCAAATCCTAGTGATTCCCACAAACCCACTTTATTGACTAAGGCACAGTTATAGCTATTTGAAAAGATTTATTGTAATACTCAGTGACAAGTTATATAATAAAGCCTGTCCTCTGTTATAAATGTAACTTAACAGGATTCATTGATACATTGTCATAACTGACAGTTGAAAGTTAAAATCAACTAGCATTTTAATAAATGTCAACAGAATGGTTTTAACTGAAACATCACACATACTCCAAAATGCTCACCATTGCTACAATAAGTACAACCTTTCTGGTTAAGCTGTCAAGTAGATAATGTTCTTTAAGATTTTTGGACAAACTGAACAATTACATAAAATCCAAAGATCTGTATTTTGCCAGCTTGTTTTGATTCTAGAGCAGAAGTAGTACAGCAAAATAATGCTACCAGGTGATTTGTCCAAGACTTTGTATTTTCTCCAGAGATGTAATATAATTTGCTCATAAATAAAAATCTCTTCAATGAACTGAACTATTACAGTAAAAAAGTTTAACTGAGGTTCTTTTTGTTTTTTGTTTTTTTCCTTCCGAGACAGGGTTTCTCTGTATAGCCTTGGCTGTACTGGAACTAGCTATGTAGACCAGGCTGGTCTTGAACTCTCAGAGATCTGCCTGTCTCTGCCTCCCAAGTGCTGGGATTAAACGCAATCACCACCACTGCCACTATGACCACCTGGCACTTAACTCAGATTCTGAAACACTGAAATACAAATATGACAGAAAAGTAACAAACTGCTGTAGTCTACAGATCTTAACACAGAAGCTCCAATTCAAAAAGAAAAGAAAAAATAATACATCATTCAAATGCATATAGAACATATAATACTTGTTGTTATTTCTGCCATAAGTTATAAGCTTTGTGGTAAAAAAAATCGTATTTTCTGAATTATACTTAAATTGAGTATGAGATTTTAGAATAACAGATTTGAGGTATACAAAGTAATTCACATAAGATTACTATTAAATCTACATAGAGCCAGTGTAAACTTTATCCATCAATAAAGTAATAATCATTTAAATACAACCCTATTAGGCAAAATAAAATAAATAAAAATAAATAAATAAAAAATAAAATTAACAATCTCACAAAAAGACTGCTTGCTTTGTAAACTAATAATTTATTTAAAATAATCAATTACTGAGCACTCCCAAAGATGAGGTCTCTTTCCATTTTTTTTTTTTTTTTTTTTTTTTTTGGGGGGGGGGAAGTGTTTTT